TATGGATCTAGAGATGTTACGTTTTTTAAAAAACCGTACAAACGTCCTTTTGGGCAACCGATATAGGAAATTTACTTTCTGTGCCCGAAAGCCAAAATTCTAAAACGCAATCGGTATCTATGCAAATAAATGCAAACGCGGGGGAAGACTCGAAACTGTAGAAATGAATAATTCCACCGGGTAGAGAGCGTCATCGACCTCAAGAAAGTTCACGCGAGTGTCGTTTACAATACGCCCGAGCGGCATTAAGCGTGTTTAGAACGGAAACGTCTATCCGAAGTATACTATTCGAAATCAAATGCTTCCCCGACGCAGCGGCATACAAACTAGCTCGTCTGATCGATGTCCTGAAATTCCTGCAAATGACGCCGCGCTATGGAATCGACGTTACACCGCGATAATGCGTTAGGTCCTTAATTAAATCGATTCGACTGATCGGCAAACGTATTTCAAACGCCGCGCAGCTCGCGGTGAACCGCCAATACCAATGGTTTCGATCCATAAACGAACCTTCGCCATAGAAACGAAACTGGATCGTTTCTTTTTTCTTGAGGAACGAACGATCCCAACGATAAAAATGATTAATGACGGCTGTAATACCGTGACAATGACGTATACTTTCCCGACGACCAACTTTCGTACGAACCAGGGTTTCTCAAACTTCGAGGACCTCTTCGACGGACCAGGTAAGTGGAAAATGTGACCCTTTACTCCCGCATCCGAATATCGAAACGGACAAGTTCGATAAAATACTTTTCTACGGGGAATAGTTAGGAAATTACGTGATTCGCTCTGTACGCCAAATGGTTTCCCCGGTTAATATCAATAATAACTCGACTAGCTCGTATTCTCTCACCAATAATCAGCATACTTTAACCAGCGTGGGAAAGCGAGACATTAACCGTCCATAAAACGCAATTTTCCTTTGAATTCCTCGTAATTGTGCACCGTTTTTGCTCGTGTTCGTTACCCGAACGATTTTGCAGTAATAAACAGCCGCGCGGAGGTAATCAGCGAAACAAAGATCGGCGCAATTAAAGGGATACAATTGATAATACGATTATAACGAGTGTCGCGTTTACAACGCGGTTACTTCGCGTTAATATCGATCGTAAATAATAATCGTTGGCAGTAAACTACACGAAGATGTATAGAATCCACCCGCTCGTTATTATTTGCTCCCTGATAATTTATTTATCCCGGCTATTACGACGCAATGGAATTAAAGTTTGGCAAGGGTAAATTACCCAAATGCTAACTGCGCCCGCGCTCGTGTAACGACGAACTAGAATTGCGATTTTATTGACGCGACGCAGACCGATAATCTCGATTGCATTTACATTAATCTGCGCGAAAGATGATGCAGCGATCGATCGTGGACAGCGGTTCGACCATTTTCCGTCGATGCTTCCCGGTGAAATTACTCGGGAACGGTACGAACCTGTTTAAAATGCTCTGAAAATGTTGTAATCTATCTGGCAGGTAATTCTGTGTACAATACAGACAAAGGTAAGACGATATAGAAGATTGGGTTCCGTGTAAATTTACACTATTCGTCTCTTCTACACCCAACACGGCTGATTCGAAGCGTTAAGTTCAAGAAATTTTTCGCTATTACATATCCGGATAGTTGTAATAACGTGTTATTATTTGATTTCTCGTCGAAAGATTAATAACAAAGAACGTTTGGGATTGGGTATTTCTGTTTGGAAAATTGTGGGCGATAATGGCGCGAGCGAGAGGTGCAATTAGGTGGGACGGTAATAATTAGATGGCTGCGTGATATGTTACTCGACGCCATTCAACATCGATACTCTGATTACCAACTAATCCTATGATACGTCGTTCGATGATTTCGCAGCTGAAACCAATTCGACGCGTGTATGAGCGAACATCAGCTATCGAATACGTTAATCGTTCAGCCAGAAACGTCGGATTTCAGAGCGTCTACCAATTAAACGAAATAAGCCAACGACCGTGCTGTTTTCGCTCAGCCTGGAAAGATGTCGCGTTACGATCGAGCGCGACGAAAATTATCCGGCGTTTCGCCGCATCGGTAAACCGTTTCGCTGATTTCTTGATTAATTTTCCGGACGAAACGAACGGGCGCGCGGAATTCGCGACAGGACAAATTGCATTTAATAACAAATTAGAGGATTTCGGGGGAAAATTAATGCGCCGACTTTGTCCTCTTTCGAATATCTCATTAAATGTGTTTTGTGCTTGGCAACTCGCGCAACGATATTACGGTCAGCTCGTTAGCCGTTACAATGGATACGCCAGGCCGACGTACAATAACATTATACTCCCAGAGAACCGCAACCTTGTTAAATCAAGCACGCTTATGTTTTCACAAACTCAAGTGCTCAAAATGCACGAACAACGTGAAATATGAAGCGCTCCAACTTCCGGATCGGCGCAGAAATCTCGAATCTTTTCGAGCCGAGCACCGCGCGTTCGAATTAACGTTTCGTTCGTCCCGTTTCAACGTAAACTTCTTTTGTTCGAAGAAACCGTGCTCGAAACCTTCCTCGCGGAGAGCTTCGATTCGTTCACCGATAGGACCGCGATATTTTAATAAACTGTCGCGAAACGGAACAGGTCGTTGTAAAAATGTCACGATTCCCTTGTTACGGGAACTATACTAACAGGTCGGAGAACTTCATGAAAGTAAAACAGCCGACACGGTACGAAAGCGCTGCATAACATTAGCACAGACGAGATATACGAGTAGACCTTACATTCAATGTATCTCTCTAAGGAACAGCTTTTCGAAAATTCTTAGAATGTCTAAATATTCTTCACTAAAATACGCGTCATTTGCATTTTGAAACATTAAAATCCTCCAATCCGTTCAGAAGTTATGACGTTTTAAACATACGCATGAAATTTAAGGGAAACAGTCAGATATGTGGTCAGACATGAAGTTTTCGGTAATCAATTTTTTTCTCGAAACTGCGTAGGATTTCGAGGGTATGTCTATTGACCAAAAATTATTGCAATCGACCCCCACAACTAAAAATAATTTTTTCAGAACGATTTGAAATTTTTTTTTTCACCGAGAAATTTAAGGACCGATAGTCAGATTGTGTCTTTAGCATACTTTTCGCGTTGTATAAAGCTTATTTCCACGATAAAGCGCGTCAAATATCGCGAGGCCGAGGATTGATGGAATTTAAGGATTCTTTCAAACTTCGGATTAAAATATGGAAACCGAACGCCCTGGAATACAACGTTTCGAGATAAGTTTAACAAAGAATCTCAACGTCTGCCCTATTGTCAGGGTCGATCATTCATCGTATCGAACAGTCAACCATATCTTTCCTCGGTTTATAAATTCTATACCAGTTTGATGCATGGAAATTCAGTAAAAAAATGATTCCTCTTAAAAAGAATGTTAGAAAAATATAGAAGAAAGCGAAACGCCTCGAACGGAAGCAATCTTTGTATTTTTCCCCGTATAAATCTGAATCCATGCACTCAACAGGATGACAGTAGACTTCTCGCCGAGGAAGAGGAGGACCGCGGATACGAAACAATGAAACCGCCGAGGTCCGAAGAGCTTTCGCACAACGGTGCAGCAGTCTCGTGTCCAGAAGAAATTTTTTAGAGAAAACAACGCTCCTGTCCTGTCGACCCTTGTCTCGTTTAGCCCCATCCACCAAACCAGAACGGTCCTCTTTCGTTCACGTTCCCATTTTTCCCCAGCTTTCTTCGCCCTTATCTACGATCCGCGTCTTTTCTTTTCGCCGCTAACGAATGAAAAATATTAAACGTACCGTGTTGTGTTCACGGCCGGAATTTCTTTCAACGCGTTGCATACTTGCTCCGAAAACACGTATGTACGTATTTTCGTAAAAGTAAAGTCGAAAACCGGCGCCGCTGGACTCGCGAAACGCTCTCGAAGGAAATTGCTCGTACAAAAGGATGGAAAACACGCTCGTTCGCAGCCATTATTCGCGATTATCTCCATCGGCGTAGCGACCAGTTAAAAGAAAAATAGATAATCAGGACGAAGCAATTAAGCGCGGCCGATGTAACGACTTAAACGAACTCCAAGCAGACCGATTATTTCATCAAATTAATCCCCCAATTACACGAGAAATTACATTAGCCTGAAAAGTTTCCGAGGAAAGTGGCGGACCCCTCGCGAGGAATTTCATTTAAAAACCGATAATTCGATTGTAGCAGGTGCCCGAACTTTGATCAAACAGCAGAAAGTGTAACAGAGTGGATTTCATTAATAGGCGTCGCTTTTCAAGTCGATGAAAGGATAGTGCCATTAAAAAATTCGTTTATCGGCGAGCCGTTCGCATGCGAGTGAACTATAGGGAACGGTGCAAATTTCAATTAAATACGCTTTTCATTGCTGAGATATGTCGGTACGGATAATTTAATTAATCCTTTAGACGCGTCGCGGAGTAGTCGCAGGCGACGAGCACGGGAAATCCCGCGGAAAAGATGCGCTTAATTCAAAGTTAATTAAAATTTTCAGCAGTTTTGCGAGCGTGACAGAAAAAAAAGGATTCGATTTTTGCATATTTCGAACACGAACGAGAAATAGTTTCGCGTTACGCGACGTTGGTTTATTTATTAGGGGGTATCGTGCTCAAAACTATGATTTGCAAGTTTTCACTCGTGACAAGAATCGATCGTTAAAATTTCGCCTCTGTTCTAAACTTTAATCCACAAACAGTATTCGAAACTTTGAAAAGCAAATTTTTCCACCGATGATCCGTCAACGTTTCCGATCGAGGTAACCAAAAAAAGAGTTTGGGAACACGTTCGTATCCGAGAGAACATTTAACCGAGTTCCATGTAACTTTTAGTCGACCCAGAATTTCTACCCTCTAATTTCGGTCGGAAATGACGATCCGTTTGCCAGAGCAAACGTTTCCGGTGCTTGGTCGAAACAATTTCTCGTTTCCGACTGCAGCCCCCTTCAGACCGCTCGCGCGAAATGGCGACGTCTCGATGAAAACGAAAAAATTCCACGTAACATGATTAAAAATAAATGCATCTGTCCGCGATGCCTTCATCCTGTCTGTCCGAATCCCGGCGCGGAACCGCCGCACGACGAGGTGACGCACGAAATCGCGGACACCATCTTGTCCGTGAAAATACCAAAGAACACGAGACAGTTTCGGTCGGACGACGCGAAACGGTTGGAGCAAAAGCTGAGCTTCGACTTTAATTGCGCGGACGCGGAAGGTAGGTACGGTTTGCAAAAAAAAAATTGCAGAAAATAAGGTAATTCTGTAAAATTGGTAACATTGTTGGGGAACTTTTCCAGCGTTAATTCGAAACATGTAAAATTCACTCGCTTTTAACGCTTTTATGACCGTACGTTTCGCGGCAAAAACCGTATGCATGCCGTCACAGTTTCCAAACTGTTTTTCCACGCGAAACTTTAAAATTCAACGATTCACGCATAAAAAAGAGAGTCGCGTTGCTATTGAAAATATCTCTGTTATTTCTCTGCCTCCATATAAATCTGGAACACCCGTGCATATTTCTCCAAAGTTTGTACCTTCTAATTACATCCTTGTCTCCCTACAGTGGGCATAGTCTTAACAATACTTCTACTCTAGAACCGGAGCGTGAGAGCTACTTTTCAACCCTTATTACTCTCTAATAAGCACGAGATAGAGGGTGATTCTCCCGCGGAAGACAAGCAATAACCTTTGATCAGCCTTTGACGTCGTTACAATGCCTAATGAAACATCGTGCCAACGTCAAAGACTGATCAAAGACCTTTGGCGGTCTCCGGCGAGAGAATGTCTCCGTATAACGTGGCGTCGATTAAGCTCGTCGAGTTTTCTTGTTTAGGGGAGAAATGTAAACCGGGCTGCACGAAGGTCCACGTGATACCGGACCAGCAACCGCCGCAGAAGAAACCGGACGAGGAAACGTTCTCGCTGAAAGCCATCAGGCAATTTTTGCCTAACGACAACCTGAGGAACACGCTCGAGATTGAATTTAAGGCGCCCCGAAATTACATTCCTCTGCCTGAACCCGGTCCACCTCCGCCCATAATTGTACCGAAGCAGAAACTCGGGTCGAGGAGGGCCAACGTCAAGTGTAAAACGAAGAGGATTCGTTCTGGTAGAACGTAATTGCAGGCAACGCGAAAGTAGTCCGAGTCGGTTTCTATTTATCGGCTCGACGCGAGTCGGAAGGAAACGCGAGTTATTAACCCGTTGCTTCGCGATTTAATTGGAGTTCGCGTGCTACCGGTTAGCCATTGAATTTCTCGGCCGGTGGAACAGATATTAAATCAACCGAAAACCAGACGAAACACGTTCCTTTCGAAAGCGTCGAGTAGTCGAGCAATAACGTGGAATGTAAATATTATATTCAATATGTAATATTACGACCACGAGTCGTAACGTATGCGAACGAGATCTCTAGACTAAAGCAGAACTCATGATTTCCCCTCGATGGTGATGGAACTAGAACGTGCCTTGATACCGTCTAAATATTTACGTTCGAAATTGATTCTGCTGCGAAACGATTCTAAGGAATATATTCGATAACGTTTGGTCGGATGCGAAATAAATCGGAAAATGCAATTTATTCGAGAAATGAGTTTTTTTTTGCCTATTCCTGCTACGACCAAATGCTCGAGAATCGGTGCTAACGAGTATATCCATCTTTTTACGTTGCTCCTTTCGAGACATCCTTGATTGTCGGACGTTCGTCTCAACGAGGCGAAATATGTCTAGCAGGATATCGGCTCTCTTTAGGGATTTATGAGTTTAGCGCGAAGCTAAAGCGTTCGCCACTTTGTCGTGAGTGCAAGGGCAACTGGGAGACCGAATAATGGAACGATAAATCACTACTGTTATATTCTTGCGCGTCTTGGGGCACGATAAATCATCGCGAGCACCGAAGGCATACGGACCCGCCATCGCGCCGGTATTAAACGTTTTCGGGGCCACTGTCAGCCGCGAGAGTCTTTTTAAGCCCGGCTTTAAGTTCCGTACGCTTCGATGAATCACAGGTATCCGCGAGTAAGCACTTCTGTTTCGACTTTAAGCTCAGAACAGAACGAACGGGAAAGGCAAATCGCCTGGGAAACGCTAAAAAAATCCGTAAATCCCACGCAACGCGAAGAAACAGGGTCATTTCGATCTACGCAAACTATGCAAACTTCTATCTTTTACCCAATTGTTTATCCACTCGCTTCACCGAGGAGGAAAATCGTAATCTATGGCGAAATAAATGCATAAATTCTACGCGAAGACGCCCGATTCCCAGATAGTAAACATTTTATAGCTTATACATGAACCATCCAGCTTCCGTCTCGCGATTTACAGTCACCGTTTGCGCAAACTGTCTTCAATATCCACTGATTTTTAAAACGAGACAAACGTACCGGATATTAAATCTTGTTCGAGACCATTGGTATCGCAAAACCGTCCTATTACCGTCCAAGTTAGAATTTTACACCGTTCCGATAGTATTAAAATGGCGCACGCCGCGATTACCGCCAATTATTGCTTCCCCATCGCGTCGGTCGTTGGAAATTAAACGGAAATCGCGTTTCCTTCGTTCTCCGTGTAACGCGAGAAAATAGGATCGTTTAATCCGCGAACGATTAAACCAACGAGTCCGAAAAGAACACCCGGAAATTTGTTTGACAATCACGACGGGTGAATTTCGCGCAATCCGCTTGACCGATAGAGTGTTTAACGGACATAGAGATTATTCTCGGTGATAATTACGCGAAGCAATGGTTAACGGTTCCCTTGGACGATCCGGTAATCTGTAATTAGAAATAGAGGGTGAGGACGCAGTCCGTGTTCGCGCACGAGCACTGGTCATTTCTCAGTCGATCGTTTCGCAAGAGTATCCTGCCAACTAAGCCGCTTATGCGCTAACGACCATAGGACAAAGTACACTCTAAAAGCCAAAATCAACCCCCGAAGGCGGAGGCTGCGAATTTCGGCCAGCGCAAGCTTTTCGAACATTTAGGACCACCAGCGTTTTGCTACGAAAGTGTTTCTGCGGTACCTTCAAAGAACGAGGATCCTCGAACAGTGTGTGTTCAAACGTAACGATTAGACTGCAATTCGGTTTTGCACCTTCGGTCGAAAACAGTCTAGCAGATTATAATACGCAGTGCTTCGAAGAAAGGTTCCATCCTCTTTGAGAAGAACTAATTTTATTAAAAAGTATAAGAACGAAGAGGTCCGTGATACTTCGAAACGCTCGCGTATCCTCGAAAACCGAAATTAGCAACATTTGCCTGTGAACCGATCGAAAAGCGAGATCGTACTTCCCGCCTCGTTGGTGTCTCTGTTCCGCCTTATAAATATTTATTATGCTCAAACAGCGGCGACGGTTCTGCCAGAAACCACGCGACGAATTCGATCGTGAAAGCATTTGCTTGTACTTTAAACGATCGTCCCCGATGCACCGTATAATTGAATAAAATTTAAATACACCGTCCGGCGCGTCGTATATCGCGACGCGAAAACCTTCGTCCTCGCGATTCCCTAATTCGCGTTAATCCCCCTACAATCAACCGTCCGCGATAATCAAGATCGATGTGGCTAAAAATGATAAAACGTTATAAAATAACCGAGTTCGAAGTTCCTCGGAGTTCGACGACCGGAAGTTTGCTCTCCTTAAACTTTGAAACGCGCACGATTTTTCGATCGAATGTTTCGTAAAGTCGAAAATACCGCGCGGCGAAGGAAAAAATAACCCCCGTGCTCGAACGGAAAGGTGTAGCGACCGGGAAGCACGGAGGGAAACGAAAAGAAACTCGATCCCGTTCGATTCGTTGTGTTCGGTCGCGAGATAACAGAGAACTTTATCCGGGACACGAGATTTCTCGCGAAAAATACAGCTTCCACTGATTCCAAGGCGTGCCGGGAATACGCAGAGGCCCGATCGACGTTTGACCAGCCCCGTAGATGCGAAAATATACCGTAAATACGACGCGGGCTCCTTACCCTCTCGATTTTCATTTTATTTGTTTCGTTTCTGACCTTCCTTCGCATACGAGTTCGGTTACGTGATCGGAAAAATTAATGCCGCGTCGAGGACAAATCGTGTACCCCACGAAATCGCGATAATTGTCCAACGATTGCGTCAACCGAGCCTTCTGTAATTGCCATGCAGTGTTTAAAGCTTCGAAACGAGTCACAGTCTCGTCAAGGAAAGAATAGAATCACTCCTTCCGTTAAGAATTTGAAGCGTACTTGAAAATTCTAATAGAAATCGACCGAGATCAATCCAACAGTACCGACGTTTCTAAATACTTGGCATCTGTGTGAAAAGCTTTGAAACTAAAGCCTAAAGATTTATGGTATATTCCGATAAACGACGTTTCCAGTTTTGGATCGACAGCGATGGACCGCGAGGACCTACGACAATTTTGCCGGCTAAACGTTTCGAGTACGTGAGTTAGCGTGGGCACGGGATCGGGCAAACAGATTAAACGTGCGTTTGGCTAGTCACGCAGGTGAGCAGCAATTGTGTAGCATTATTAACGTAATCAGGTGCACCTGAGCCGTGCTCGAATACGTATGGACGTATGGCGAGCGGTTTGCGCTAACGATTGCGAAACGTATCGATGCCGGGCCATCCGACATTTCCCGCGAGTGCCGGACAACCGATAACAAGCCGTCGATAACGGAAAAACTCTGTCGACCGTAATGTTCGCCGATTATCGTACGCGGAAATCCGCCTTCGCGAACTTCTTTAACGGATTACGCGAATAATCGCTGGGGGAAACGATCCGACGCGCGTTACGATTAACCGACGATCGAGCGGTAATTTCAACTGCTTCGCTCGGCGATACCGTTGTCGCGCAAATTAGGCGTACCACAGCCACCAAAATCGCTTTATTCCGGGGGTATCTCTGTTTCGCGTGGCTTAACATACACGCGCGTTAACCAACCCGTACCTTAACCCTTTCGTTTCCACCCCAGTCCCCCGATAGCACGCTTAGAATACGAAAATACCGTGGAAAATTTTCCAAAAGTACCCTGCGATCGATAATGAATCCAAGTCGTCGCGGTAAAGCCCGAAATTGAATGGAGCAGCCGTTTCAAATTACCATAATTTCGCCTTGCGTTACGTTCAGTTTACCCGATTCCCTGCAAACTAGAGTACAAACAATAAAACGAAGATTGTACCGACTCGTAAAAAGGATCGAATTTCGTGGCAATTTTCTCTTCGAAAACCCGAGGCTCCCGAAAAACGAAAGGAACAAAAGCGGCGAAAGTAGAAGATTCTTTCGTTCCACGAGGACCGGGCCTCGCGCTGAATTTTCGGCTCGAGAAAGGTCCGGAGCTCGCGCAACGTTACAGGCAGCCCTATTTTCGCCCTTTCCTCGTCGCCGGTGAAAGAAAGAGACGGAGAAGTTCTAAGCACGAGGCTACATTTACATTTCTCGACACTTAGGTCCGAGCGGCGCGCCGGCGTTATGCAAATCTTAATTCGCCCCGGTGGAAAACTCGTAAAATTACCGAGCTTTTCTGCAATAGAGCCTCAAATTGCTAGCACGCGTTCGAACCGGCGGGGCCCTGCGGCTATGCTCGAAAAAAAAAAAGGAAAGAGTTCCGTACGATCGTTTTGTCTTGATAACGATGATCGTTAAGGACGATCGTTAACGGGGTAAGCTTCGAGTTAAAATTTCATCGCCTGTGTCGGTCAACCTACACGACGCAAACGTAAAACTCATTAATGGTATCGTACGAAAAAAAACCACCGTCGACGCTCTACTGTGTCTACATCGTTCGTATCAGAGTAATCGGACGGACTGCTAACAAGGTCTCGTACGAAAACGTGTACCGTGTATTCGGTATTGTAATACACGAAATAACAGCGAACGCGGTATCGGAAGTTTTCCTTGGGATACGTGGAATACGATGGGAAATTTTTCCGTGTTCGATGCAAATTATTTAATTAGATGACAGAAAACAATATATGTTTGAAACGAGTTTCAATAACGAGGCGTCGATGCTCGACGCATCTAAAAATATCTAGCCCCTTTTTATCAACCTCTCACAGTACAATTACGAGTTCGATTCGTCGTAAGTTCTTCTCCAGAACCTGTGTCTGGAACGTCGATCATCTTCCTCTTTCAATCGAACTCGAC